GGACTGTACAACGAGGATGCAGCTGTTCCATCGCCCCCTGACCATCCCACATGGGAAGGGGGTCCGACGAGGCGACACCATTTCACCGAAGCTGTTCAGCGCGGCTTTGCAGTGGGTGATGAAGTCACTGGACTAGAACGAGAGAGGCATACGAGTTGATGGGAGATTCCTGTCTACCTTCGTTTTGCGGACGACATCGTTCTCTTTTCGAGCAGTATCACTGAAGCAGAGACGATGCTGGAACTGAACGAAATAGGGAAGAAGATCGGATTGCGAATCAATCGGAAGAAGACTCAGTTCATGAAGAACGCCCTTTGCGTAGATGCAGAAATGGAATTGGAAGGCACCTCTATCACGGAGACGTCTTCTTACGTGTATCTCGGACGTTCGATGGACATGGAGAACGACTTAAGGGAAGAACTTAACAGGAGAAGAAGAGCAGCCTGGGCCGCATTCGGGCCTCTGAAGGGAGCCACCGACCAACTGACGGACCCGGAGCTTCGTGCCCACCTGTTCGACTCAATCGTTCTCCCGGCGCTCTTTACGCAGCTGAGACTTGGGCTGACACCATACCACCCACAGAGCGCAAGAGCGTAGTGATCCGAGGATGACCCGACACAAATAATATCTCGTCGGACTTCGCAGTACGGCTTCGTGACCCAGCGAATTACGTGGCGTGGAAAGCGAAGCATCGATGGGCCGATCACATTATGAGAAGAGCAGACGACAGATGGACACTAAGAACATCGGAGTGGATTCCTCGCGAAGCAAAACGTCCCCGAGGAAGACCTCCAATGAGATGGGCAGACGTGTTCGTGTAACGGATGGACCAGTTGAGAAATCAGCTGGATACGATTTTTGCACCTGGAACTCGTGGACGGAGCAACCGACGCCAACCAAGAAGATCGTGGATGTCTGAAGCGAGGGACAGGGACCGATGGAGACTTCTATGCTGGGGCCCGCACTTTACGTGAAGCAGGGCCATCTAAGTATCTAAGCAAGTATAAAGCTCAATGTCTGTTTGTCTGTATGTCTGCATGTCTGTCTGTATGTGTGTACGTGTGTTGCAAATAGAAAATTCAATTTCCGAACCGATTCATACCAAACTTGGCACACACACTTCGGGGCGGGGCGGCATCGACCGATATCGATTTTTTGCAAAGTTTGAGCTACGGGGCTGGGAGTTGGCGCAGGGACAAGTGAGCATGCTGGTTACTAAAACAGCGGGAATAGTGGATTGGAATGTAGAAGTGGGCACCTTCAACAAATTGTTTTGACAAGGCCGGGCGGAGCCGGGTAAGCCAGCTAGTAGATAATGGCCCATAGTAAACCCCATCAGAGCACCTCTCTTGAGGCGGACCGGATCGCTCCATTTTTGCTACTTGGCCTGGCGAACTTTGATAGCGGCCGTTATCGAAAAATCGATTATAGCAGCTATCAGAGATTTCAACTAGCAAAGAACGAGATAAAACAAATATGCAATAATTTGGCACTCATACGAAGAAAAATTACACCTAGCGAAAACCGAATAAAAGATAAAATCACCTTTTTGTCATCTGAAGCGGTTTTTCCGTAGAAAACGTGTATCATGCGTAAGAAAAATGCAATAAAACCTTCTCACGATTTCGTCGGGAATCAGCTGTTCATCGATCGTCACTCGTTTAGGCGCCCGAAATTGTGCACTTTTCGGAGTTTTGCACCGCAAAAGAACGCCACCTGCGGTATTTCGTAAGTTACTCGGGAGCAACTTACGGAGGTTTTCTCTGTGCTCTCCTCTTTAGCACAGTATTTACCTTATGTCGTCGCCCTGCTCTTCTCGATGACTCGGTCTGGAACTGATCTCCCTGCCGGGCTTCATCTGAAGCTCACCTGTAGGGTGACCTTGCATACTTACATCACGGAAAAGTGGGCAGTCCTCATCTCACCCGACAAAGCCTCATTTGAGGGCTTCAGATCAGAGATTATCTCCCGTGACCGAGCTCTACTACGGGTCAATAATTTAGGGCTAACGACTGTGCTCCTCATCAAATATCGAACAATAAGCATATTTGTCGGAAATGCGAACAAGGGGTATATGAATTCTGTTTTCGTATAAGATGCATGCCACTGACGCAGCTCACTGCGCTAATTACAAATCTGATTCTAGCTGCTAAACTTTGCTCTTGAAGAAGTCACGGGCATTTTCTCTAGTATTGTGCGCATCAGAAGTAAAGAAAGTAGCCAACACCCAGTTCCTGTATTCTGATTCACTAATCTATTCGTAGTTATCGTAAATGTAGGATTTCTTTTTTGTAAACGTTCTTTCATTGCACGGGACAGGCATTTCCATCAATTCAGATAAATTAAACTTATGAAAAAAAAGGTACAAAAAAACTTCAAGAAGAAACGCCCATGCTATTTCCGAGGGATGTTCAACAGCTAACGAAGTTGCAACTGAAATTAGCGCAAAACTGCATCGACTGATTTGCATTACATCCAAAAAGTCAGTTCGGCTTAGTGTAATTCTCTTGTCAGATACATCAGCAGATATCTTGCTTTTGGAATGGTTCAAAATTCGAATGACTGCAGTTGCTGGGCGTTGAAAAAGCGCTTATATTGTTTGCATTTTCCTTCAACTTCGCACTGTTGAGTTTCACCAGAGAAGTGAAGAAGAAGTAAAAATTACAGGCGGTCACCGATCATACCTAAGAACAACAGATATTTGTGTTTCATGTTCGCTCTCTTTTCTTGATTCAGCAGACGGTGAGCCATACCGACGGTCAAGTCTACGCTAGTTTACAACTGAGGTAAACGTCGGAGCTTACGACCCTTATTTTGACAATGTCTCACTTTGGTTTATTTTCAAATTTTTATTTAGACCCTCTAGTAGCTTTGTAAGGCAGAAAATGGGGGAAAACTTTTGATCACAGCAATCTTTAGAAATCTTTTCCTTTGCTTACTTTTGCTGAATAGTTTTCTCAAAGTCTTGTGTTCTGGAAAAATTGCATAACACATAGTTGCATTAAAACTGCAAAGCCTTAATGCCTGCAACGTTTAGCTCTTCATGTTTTGCGAAGTTTAAAGAGACTGAGTGTAGAACTTGGTTATCTAAAACTATCTCGTAAGAATCCTAAAAAGGTAGAGTACAAAAAATTTCATAGAGTTTGTTTTACTAGCTGGTTATCAAAGCTTTTTAGGAATCTCAAAAAAAAAATCTTGACAATTAGAGAAGGATAGACATGGTAAAAGCGAAGGGTTTGAACACCGCGATTATCTCAGCACTCACCTATTCATTTCGTAATATCCTTTGGATAGAGGAAAAAATCTGCATCGGATAGGGTAGTACCCCTGTTTGGAGTAATTGCTTAGCTCAACTTCAGTGTGCGCATTATGACTCGAAGATGGTGTTCTCGCAGGTCGATGAACCTATTTAGAGGAAACGAGGCTACAGAGCGAGGTCGGAGCTACAAAAAGATTCGATAAATACATTTGCAAGAACTATTGGAGTTTGGAGTTATACTGGGCAGAGATGATTTGGGGCTCTGACATCATGCGGACAGCGCTCCAAAAATTTAGCGCAGTTGACACCTTATGATATATATCCAGCGTTTCTTCTTCATATGCAATGAAAATGCACCAATTGATATGTAATACTGCAAAATGTATAATCGTATGAAAATTATGGGAAATATCTGTTTTGAAAAGAATGCTTTTTAGTATAAAAAGGCTCTTACCTTACCCGGAGGCACCTATTCTAGTCTAACGATAAGTAGTCTCAGTTTCACTTTTCACACATTATAATTTTTTTTCAAATAACTTTCTCCACCTCATATTTCAGCTACAGTAGGAGACTTTTACAAACTTGCAATCTGTTATCGCTCTAATGACCATGTACATAACTTGCCGTTATGACAATTTTCTGCACCTCTTTTACATCGTTTGTGTTCGCCGTTCGCTATCAAGTCTGCAAAACTATTGCATCAGAAGGGCTTGGTTTTTCTGAAGTCAAACATACTTTTGTTTCTGAACTCCAATTAGCCCCCTCACGTCATGCCATATTCCAAAGAAATATACACATTTAAATACGTGCAGAAATCAAACACTACGCGAAGTGACGCGTTCGAGACAATGAACAATGTAATTTCAAGATTTTCGGGAATCGAATTGATTGAATTCGGTGGGAACGGAATGACAATTGTGTCGGAAATACCGTGATCAAAATTCATCTTGCAGATGCTTGAGCATATGTAGAATTCTGAACCCCATAAGTTCCTTGAAATCTCCTATGGCTATCATCATTATCGTACGATAAAACCACCGTTGATTGTGGTGTTGATCCTAATCTCTAATCTAGATTGGTTTACAGACTGCGAGTACAGGAGTACTGCTGGTTTTCGAGCGTTGATCCGCTGAAAACTCCCTTATTACTGCTGGATTTGAGCAAAATCAATTCACTACTTACATTGCATGTATCCTTCAATGAGAAACAATCGCCCCTTGTATTCATAAAAGATTTCGGGAAATTACTTTGAAAGAAGCTGTTTCTTAATGCGCAGACCAGGATAATTTTTTGTTAATGTTTCAAATAAAACAAAAAGAATCGTTCCAACAGACTCCTACCAAAATTTATGCTTTTACGCATTCGCTTTTCGTTCTTTTGATACGTTCTACAGATAACTCTTGAATGCATGGCATTCCAATCCTTTCCGGTCTCTTCCTTTTTTGCTGTAAAATGTAGTGTATGCATATTGGCAAAAATCATTAGGTTACTCAAAGGAAATGACCTACTTTCACGAATTTCTTTTACTGGAAGAATTAGAGTTATCAACTTCGCCAGCGTGAGATTTTGCATTATCGGAAAATCCCGTAATGTCTAAAAGGTTATCAGCTTCCAACTTTTGTCACTGCTAGATCATGAACTATTAATAACAATCCGGATTGTTATTTACACGGAAGTAGTTTTGACCGTACGTTTACTTGCACAATTTGATTGCCTATAATTTATCATTATCCTTCGTTTAGGAGTCGCCATTGCAAGACATGACAGCCGAAAAAGAGAATAAAACTGAAGAAGAGCATTCTCTACATTTTACTGTCAATCATGTTCCAGATCTGGGCAACTTGTTTCTGTTCGGATTTCAGGTACAGTTTCCGCTTTGTTCTCATTACCATTCGTTCTACTTCTTCTTATTATTCACTAACGATGAAGTGCTTTATTTGAGTTCTACAGGACTTGAACTTTGTAGAATAGACGGCTTTGCCTTCGTTCTTAAACAATTAATCTTTGATAGAATGCAATCCTTCTACGAAAGAAGTAACATATAGTCCCTATGATGCACAGACAAAGATAATGAGCTATAAAAAAGTTCGACAAAAAAACGCTAATGACGCTATTCGGACGAGGTCACAAGCAAAAACATTGAGAAAAAAACGTTCAACCTTAACTATTCTTTATAGCAAATGATGTTGTGCTTCTCTGGACTACTCATCATTCCTTTTCTCCAATCAAATCTTGTATGCGCTGGTGCGTCAACAATCGAGCTCAGGTAAGTGCAAGCTAATCATTAAGACGATGATGCTGATGCAAGTAATTACTAGGGTGCGACTCATAGCGGCTTCGTTCTTCTCCTCTGGGCTTGCAACCCTTTTGCAAACAACCTTTGGACTAAGGTAAGTCCTACTGTTCTTATCGAAAACATCACTCCTATAATAAAGTGACGATGACCTCCGCAAAGCTGACTTACTGCTTTTCGAAAAAGAAGACGAAGTTATGAGCTCTAGCAACTCTTGGGTGGTTCTCAAATAACAGTACCTTATGGGTGGCTCATCTCACTATATAAACACGACACTATCATTGAGGAGAAAGGAACCGAGTTTTTATAGGAGTCGTACCAAATGTTTCTGTTCGAACTCTTGCCTGGAAGCCCCCAAAATTGCGACCCCCTAATTGACCTTAAGCAGTACATACAATCTAGAGCACTAATACTGCGAATTTTCTGCTGTAAAGTACTACGGAATAAGTAACTTGATTAACATCAGCATAGACACCCCTGTTTAGTTTATGCACGAGCCAGAAGAACGCGTCGGAAGCATGCCGCCAACGCGGTATGCTACCGACGCTGGAGGCTAAATCGCGGCTTTCCTCCAATTCCAATCTGACCCAATTCCTCAGTTTAGATATCCCTTTTCATCCTGCGCGATGGCGTTCGTTTTGGGTCACGACGTCGCGCGCGGAAAGATGGTGTTTGTTCAATTTTGCCCATGAAGGAGGCCTTTTTTCAAAATAAGCACAATGTTGTAATCAGAATGTTAAGCACCTCCCTATACAAAGCTTCACCCGGATTAAAAGCTTACGGTGACTACATCTACTTATGGCGGACACAGATTATACTGTTCATCAGAATCACAAGTTCGTCCGTCTTTCAAGAACTAAACCGAAGAAACTCGAGGTTCACGCTGCCCCAACTTTATGGATTTGCCATTTTCTAGCATACATCAATGTTTCAGCTGGCATAGGCTCAGGGATTAGTATTTCAAGCTTAGCTTCAAATTTAGAGACATTGCTGGATTTTGATAAAACTTATACTGGAATCCAAAAAAATGTTTGAAGCGGTGATTCACAATGTGTTGAATCACTCCGAGACGCGTTAAATCTTCACGCTCATGCTGCCCTTTTGAAATAAATCACATTTCACACTGGGTAATAGGCATTGGGACGTAAACACATGCTCAAGCTCACTCAAGCTCAAGGCTGCTGCCTTGCTCTGGCTCAAGCAAAGCGCCTACGACCAATTATGGGCCGTCGTTGCAGTGCCAAATCGCGCAGCGGCTGATATCGAGAAGTATGCCTTAGGCCTCGGGCAGAGTTCACGCGATATGATCGTCGCGATTCAATCACTACAAGACAATTGTTACGAGTTTATTGCATGCCGATCTTCTTGCATTTCGGTTGTGATAGTTTTCCAAAATGTCTAATCGTGACTAACTATCACAATCGAAATACAAGGAGATCGGCTTGCAATGAACTCGTAATACTTGTCTTGTAGCGATTGAATCGCGACAATCAAACCGCGTGAACTCTGCCCGAGGCCTTAGGCCTTAAGGGCCGGGCATACTTCACGCGATTTCAGTCGCAACGCGATTTGACGACGCGATTATTCCACCTGTCCATAACATATTGTAAGTACATTTTAAATGTACAGAAGATAGGGCATTCTATCAGTCCACGTAAGTTATGCACACTATGCATGTGCAGTTTGCTAGTGTTGGGTCTGAAGACTTCTGGCTAACTGCCAAATCGCGTCGCGACTAAAATCGCGTGAAGTATGCCCGGCCCTTTACGTAATGTCCTTAGTCGCGCGATATGCGGCTGCAACAGGATTACAGCAGCATCCAGTCTGTAGACATCTGGCAAATCGCCAGTTCGAATGGATGTAATTTGACAGAATTGCGCGGAGGATGCCTTAGGCCTAGAGCGAGCTGTATCCCGTGTCAAAGTATTGGGCTGGCGGATAATTTCTGTTACACTTTTTTCGTAAAATTCTAAAAGTCCCAGAAGTGCTCTAGAATCTCCAGGGTTGCTCCATATGTAGGCCATGGCAGGGCGTACACACAGTATGACTGATGCCGCAAACGCACAATTAGCTAGCAACTTTCTGACAACTTTATAAGCACGCTCAAAATTGTCATTTTTCTTTGATTTTTTTCTCTGCGTCTAACTGTGTTTTTTCTCCCCCGTATCTTTTTTAGAACATATTTTCGCATCGTCTCTTTTATGGTAGCATCTTGGCGCAGCTAGCACGCCAAAAACAAGGGGTAAGAAACAACTTTAAAAAAATCAAAATCGTCGAAAATTTTTCTTTTTGTACCATACTCTGCCCGAATACCACATCGCTTGTCTTTCCAATCACCTGGAAGAGTGGCAGCCCGCTGACAAAAATGTCCATAAACATTTTCTCACCGATAAAGTGGGTGTTTTGTGCACGGAGCGCGGATCTGACAATACCGGCTGTTAGACCTTTGCACCCCGTCAACACTCCTTAAACATAAGAAATTTCGGTTTTTTAGACTTGTGAAAAATAGTAATAAAAGTGTAACTGAAATTATCCACCAACCTATAATATTTTAAAAAGCGAATAACAGCCATCTTTAGGTTATGCATTCTACATGGACCGTCGTTTTCATTTTTACCTCCACTTCTTGCCTTTGCTGCTATGCCAGAAAATCATTGCTCAGCAGATTTGGAAACTATTGTTCCAGAAGCAGAATGGAAAGCAAAGATTCAAATGGTATTCTCATTATATCAAACTTATTTACATAGCAAATGTTTCAAATTAAGATTCAAGGCAGTCTACTTACTTCCACGCTCACTTTCCTTCTTCTGGGAATGACTGGCTTCATAGGACAAATTGCTAAACTTGTTGGACCTATAACTATCACACCGCTGCTGCTGTGGCTGTGCTTTGGCGTTGTGCCAACTATGCACGAGAAAATGTATCTTCATTGGATTTCTATAGTGTAAGCAGTATAAATAAATTCAATCGTTTCTTGAAAAGCATACGTTCCAGAACTTTCTGTCTTCTCATTGCCATGGGCGTTTTTCTTGAAAACGTCCGCGTACCACTGCCTTATTTTTCGTTTGCTCATCGGAAGTGGTATGTGGGAAGGCCACGAATATTCGGGCAATTTCCTGTTGGTTTCTTATCTTAAAAAACTTCCGATCTTGAACTCACACTTTGCTATAGTTTAGTATTTGTTAGCAATCACGACTGCATGGTTAATTTGTTATATACTGACAGTCACTGGAGCAGAGCCAGAGGGAGGAGAAGCTAGAACGGATAAAAATCATACCGTCGCCGTCATAGCACATTCTCCTTGGTTCCAAGTGCCTTACCCAGGTAACGAAAGAGTTCTGCGCACTAATGCTATTTTAGCATTGCGATGATTTAGACAAAGATTCCATGCGTAAATGTTGATAGATAACTCATCTGCAAGTCTTTTTTGTAGACCTGTACTACTATAATTTCATTAGCTGATGCAAGACCGTAATTTATCGAGAACTTTTACACGCTGTGCTCACTGGGCCAGTAAACACCGACTATAATGTTCACCATGTACCAGTGGCGCATCATCGAGGGGAGGGGGAAGGCGGGGGGGAGGGAAGGGGGAGGAGGCAGAAGGGGGAGGGGCGCGGCCCTCCTCTTCGAGAATGGATCGCAATTTTTGAAAGTTATCTATATTAGCCATAACAATGTACAAGTGACTTGTTTACATTTGTAATTAATTAAAGTAATTTTTGAAATTTTTAAAAGTTCATTTTAGCTTTATAAAAAAATATTTTTCGGACTGCCATGTACAGACAAGGTACCATGCTAATGTCAGCCCAGTTTACAACAAATGTCTTGAAATTCGTTGTCCCAATTTCCTACAAATATGACAGATCGCTAAATTATGAAACGTCATAATCAAGGCAGGTATGTAGTATGATATATACGAGGATGCCATTGAGCTGCATTGTTCATTTCTTCCAACTCACTTTTATATTACGTTCTCTCGGTAAAGCATTTGATAAAATTATGCATGTGTAGAAACTTAGGGTCTGCTTTTCTCTGCAAATACCCACATTACATTCAGTTTAGTAAACAAAATAAAAAAGGTTGATTTCGATTTCTAGTTTCGAGGAGGATGAGATTTCATTTTCGACACCTTTTGCTCTCTAAGTATGCCCATTGCTCATTTGTAAAATTTGTCCAAAAAACTTGGCGATGAACGAAACAACAGGCTTAACCTTTAGCAAGTGCACTATTTATGCTTCCTCTCTTCTTAATTCAGTCTTACTTTTTTAACAGAGATGCTCATCGACGTTTTTTACGTGCATACGTGAGTAGCGTGGCACCGATTTTTGAATGAAGTTTTCTATAACTCGGCGAATTTTTGCAAAACATTTATGTTTCATTCCAGATCCTCCAATCATCCTCTCTCCGAACTCTTTTTAAGTACCTAACAGATGTTGAAAAGAAGTCGAAAGGGGGCCATCTTCTTTGATTGACATTTTTTGAAATTTCTAAAGCACTTCTGAGCAATCTGTCAAAGCTATAGCATTTTCTCGATATACGACGCAAGTTTACTGAGCTGTTTTCAAGCTTTCTGACCCAATTGAAGCTCGATGTAGCATTATTGTCAAAAAATGTGTCAATAATTGTGTCAAAAAATTTTCCCCTCTTGGATTTCCAATTCGGGAGCGAAATTTTTTTTCGGATTGGGAAAACGAAGTAGGGAATTCTAAAAGAGCTCTCGGATGCCTATGCAAATATATTCAGAAAGCACAAAATATGAAGAAAAAACTAAACAAAGCTCAAACTTACACGAAAAAATTATTGATGGTACACACACTCTTTCAAGTAGGATGTGAAAATCTTTGGAGATATGACGGACTTTCTCATCGCGTTTGTTATTTATTTTCAGAAATTTATTGAAAACAGCAGGATTTATTGTCAGTTTCGGGCATCCGAAACAGAAAGCGTTTTCGAGAAAAAAATTTTAAATAGTTCACCGGAAGTATTAATTCATCCTCCTCCCGCCCGGGTCCGGGAGGAACGAAGGCCGCCAGTATGAGCGGCCTTTCGCGGCCACTCAGACAAATGTTGCGAGCATCAGCGGCCCCTACCGTTGTTTTTTTTTTTGGCGGTGCGCGGGCTAAATTCTGGGATTGACTGTCCGCGGCCCTAGATTTATTTGTTTGGCAACATGCGGCTCGATGCTATCGCGAGGGAAAGGCCGCAGGCCATAACTTTTATCGAAACACCTGCGGCCCAAGACAACCTTTAGGTCACGGCCCGGTAGAACCATTCTGGCGAGCCCCGGGCCCTGCTAGACGCCATAATTCTTACACACTGGAAACAAAAACGTTGCTCGCGTGAGATGCGCCGCGGTGGTTGAGGTACCCCAAACGCTTTGGTCTTTGGTTATATAAGTTCAGCTTATGACTAGTGACGAAGGCGGATCTCAATGGGGCCCTCGGCCAAGTTCTGATGTAGGTTGTGATCTCCATGCGAGGTAGAAGAATGGCGACACGAGCTCATAGGTTTTTATGAAAGTATTTTTAGCTGGTGCGTATGGGGCCAACCGCGGACGCATATCGTGCATTTATCGTTTGATTGCCGGGACATCCGCCGGTTTCGGTTGGGCACGTATCGGCACATCCGCGGGTAGATTTCGGGAGCTTGGCGTGCGTTTATTTTACCACCCGCGGCATGGATGAAACTCGGCCGGCGCCCTTCCGCGGGTGGTCGCAATATTTGTCTGAGCAACTGCTCCTTTTGTAATGTTGTTGCATGTCGTTCCCGGACCAGTAGTCCGTGGAGACGGCCCAAACTGGAGGCTTTCGTTCCCCTACCCTCCCCCCCCCTAACTTTCGGTATTAGTGACAACACTTTGCGTTGAATTCCAATCTCAGCTATGATTATTTGATTGGCAAAAGTTTATCAGGAAAAAGTTCAAAAGCTCATCATTTTGACTGCAACCACTGAGATTTTTGCTGCTTGTGTGGTTCTGAGTTTTGAAACATCCAGAACCATTATGGCGCTAAAGAACCATTAAGATTTTTTCACTCTGCACGGCAAAAAATGCCGAAATTTTTGCCATATACCAACAATAAATCTCACAGAGTAGAGCCTTCGTTTCTACACGATATCGAATTTTGATGAAGTGCTAACGAAGACCGTAATCATTTGCACAAATTTAATCGTCGTGTACGTAATCGGCTTTTGTTTTGCTTACAAAGGCTTCTCATACATATAAAGTCTGCATAATAGTCTATAACTTATGTTTAGGACAGTTCGGCTTGCCGCAAATCTCCGCTGGGCTCACTCTAGGCTTTGTATCATCATGCATCGCATGCGCCATCGAAAGTTTAGGAGACTATCAAACATGTGCCAGGGTAAGTCAATCTCAGCTGGGTGATCTTCCTAGCATGCGCTTTGCAACAGGTTTCACACCAGCGACCTCCCCCCTCCTCGTCTGTAAATCGAGCAGTCATTTTTGAAGGTAATTTTACTCGTAGCCGAACTTCACAAACCGAGAAATTTCAGGAGTTGGTGCTATAATAGCCGGTTCCTTAGGAATCGGGACCGGAGTCACCACATACAGCGAAAACATTGCGTTAATGCATATAACCAGGGTAGGTACTTCTGACTATGTATGTAAATTATGTACCAGCCTCTTTTCTCTCGAATTCAGCGTCTAATCCTCCCAGATTTACCGCCACCCATAGAGATTGCTCATATTTTCTAAAATTATTAACGTTTCATAATATTCGAGTTGTTGCGTAGCATTTTGAAAGTCTCAGTATGAGAGATTTAGCCTAGATACGACGTTGAACTATGTAATGCAAAACGTTCCACACCTAATCTTCCTCGTGGCGTCTTAATTCGAGAAAATTTTTGCAGATGTCGAAATCGCTGCTTCTGAACTGTATTTTGACTGCTTTTTCGACTCTTTTCTTAGCAATACTTGCCACTTACCAGTTTGAGTGTTCCTGTGTATAAAACGATATCATTCCATGGAGGACTATCTGATGGACGATAAGCTAAGCAATCGCGTCTCTTTTTACTCTTATCCCTGGCTAACGAACGACGATTTTCTCTGGTAGTGCAAGCTAACACTTAGGGCCGCTGCAGTGCTTAAAAGAGAGCTTCATATTCTGAAGCTTTGAACAGCTGGATTCATCTGTGTCTATCCATCCGCGTGTTTCTATAAACACCTGCGGACGGACAGACACAGATAGACAACCCTTTACTATACAAGATGAACGTTAGCAAGAAGTTGTATAAGCTACGCTTTCCAGATTTTTATATGATCCCCTAACAATCGCTAGCGGTCGACCGTCTATTTTAAGTAATCATTTTTTCTTTCTTCGTGGTCATGAAAAATCCCAAAGTTGTACGCATCATCTGAACCAACAGCAACTAAGCATGTTTCTGATGAAATGATGCATAGAAATCATAATTGCAATGAACTACAAGTCGAAAATTAGTTCATCCAAAATCCAAATATTTTGATAACGATTTCTTATCAGAAACATGTTTAGCACTTTTGGACTACATAATCAGTGCAACTTTGAGATGTTTCCATTGATTTCGAAGAAGGAAAAATGACTTTGAAAAAAAAGAGGGTTGGCCGCTGTAGATCATCAGGAGATTATACAAAAAGCTGTGAAAAGCGGCTTGTACGACTGGTCGCTCCCTATTATGTCTATAGTGAAGGGTAGTAGAAACACTTGCGGATGAATAGAAAGCGAGACAGTGTTCAGAGCTCAGAATATGAAGCTCCCTTTTGCGCTGCGTTCTTCTCAACGGTGATGTTAATGCATGCGGCCTTTATAACGCAATTCTACTATGTGATACCAAGATGCGAAAGGTGTGCAAGATAGGAGGGGCGCTCGTTACGTGCGGGCTGCCAAATGAAAAACGTCGCAATGCGGCGTTACAATAATTGCGCGCGGGAAGCAGCAGTGCAGAGAACTTGTCAGACTTATACCACTAGATTACCACTGTTTCTTCTATATTGTAGTTTTTTACCTTCTTCAATTTATGACTTTTTTGTCCTCTAAAGAGCTCATTTTACAACTTTTGTGGCAAAACTTTGAATACTTAAGCAAAACTAATATGAGAATAGTCTGTGGACCTCAACAACGGATGAGAAACTGAAAACTATGTGCTGCGGATCATGCTGGCTGAAATCCCCGAGTCTGGTCACTGGCAGCTTCTCGCGCGCGACGTTTTCCTATTGGAAGCCCGCACGTAACGATACAAGATAGGCTTGATGATATTTTAGCAGAGGAGTAGCATGGATATTGAAAACTCACCTAACGTTCAGATTACGTGCAACGTTTAGTATCTGCTCGAAGCCCTGGCACATAAAAGAAGTGAGAATCCTGAAACATCGGCGGCCTTAAATCATCGATGTCACATTATTGATTTACACAGTTCATCAGCTTCGGAACTCCAAATTTTTGCTTATGTACATCGTAAAGTTATTGAACATTCCCAGAGCAGCATAATTTCAAGCAATTTAGCAATTTCAAATGGTTTCCACTAAAACATCTTCTAAAAGCTTTCCATTATAAGCAAGGAAAATCCGAATTGCCCATATCAATTCATTTTCAATAAGATTTGATGTATTGTATAATCGTTCGTAATCTGTAATATTTCGTAATCGTCTCATGATTACCAGTACTAGGAAACCTAGAATGAAAATTGCCTTGAACCTAAGTTTGAGTATCCTGGTGTCTGTATCTGTCCAAAATCTTGCTGCGAGCATGTCGATCTCTATGCTTGTGCGTTTCAGTAGAAGATGTCACTTCAACCCATCCTGACCAAATTTTTACACATACACTTCAGGCGCGGATAAGTGGGCAAGCTGATCACGAAAGCATGGGGCAAAATCGATGGGTATCCTAACTGACTTTCCTGTAAACTTTGAGCTGTGGGGTTAAGAGATGGCATAGAGGCTACGTGACATGCCTATCACAACAATAGTGGGGATTGGGAGTTGCATATACAGGGGAAAGAAGGACCAGGAATTGTTGCGTAAATGTGAAACAGGATGGTTCTATCCTGTATTCTCAGAGACCATGAGCCAAGTGTATCAGCTAGCCAAATTTGTCGCTTTTAGGCGACTAAATTTTTATCTAAATGTTTGGAATGTATTTTGATGTGTAACGCAGTCAGTGTTATTTGGATTTTCTTCGATGTGTAATTGAGTTACTATTCAATCGTAGGTAGTAAGTCGCTCTACCATGCAAGTGGCTGGTGTACTGCTCATACTGGCTGGGCTTTTCACCAAATGTGCTGCAGTACTGGGTTCGATACCGGATGCCGTTATTGGTGGAATACTTGCAATGGGAATATCTATGATAGCCGGTGTTGCGATAGGAAATTTGCAGGTTATTAGATTTTCGTGAACTTGTAGAAAATTTTTTGCCTCAACGGAGTACTGCCCCAACTAGTCATAAACTAACATAGAACGTTGATCTACGGCTGACTCGCAATCTCACAGTTATGGGCACCGCCGTCCTGATGGGAGCAGTAATTCCCTATCACTTTGACAAGAGCAAAGTTAATACAGGTCAAATCAAGTCGCAGTTGTTGAATTCTGCGCGACTTAGAATAAAGTAAACGTTCTTCCACTTTACAACAATAACTTCAGGTGTGAAGACTCTAGATGACTGTCTGAATATGCTTTTAAGCATTCAAATGCTCATAGCGGGAGTGATTGCCTTTATATTAGACAACACCGTACCAGGTAGTTTTTAGTTGGGTAAAAGGCATCGAGTTTCAACTGTGCTTCAGGTGCCACGAGGGAGCAGAGAGGTTTCGTTTCTAAGGAATCAGCAAAAAACGTAACAGTAGAGGATGATGGATATGCGCCACCAGAGATAATACGCAAGTGAGCTATAAAATTTCGGTTGAGAATAGCTAACATTATGTTTCTCTTGTGTAAACTTTGCAGGTTCCTACTTCGATATCCTATCCTATGTAAACTTCCTTTTATACCATCAAAAAGAAGCCTACTTACTATGAGCGGCAGCTGCGCAACGACGTCAACTTACATGTAATTAAGATATTGAAAATTAAAATATAAATCGTTTTGATTGGATGTGCTACAATATAGATCGGGCCAATATAGATCCCAGATATTCACGAAATGGGGAGAGGTTGTTTTACATGGCGGTCTCCAGCGCCATCCTGATAATCTGTCCCATCGTGTAACGCACGCGGCAAATCTCCCTCCCCCTGTTTTTTCTTAGGCAAGTGCCGAAGGTTGTATCGCGCGCGGCAGTGGTCCTACAAGGGAAGCATTATGGTCATGGGAAACTTTTATACCACACAAATTGCCTTCATCGTGGGGATTGAGCATGATTCTTGAAAAAGCACTTTAAGTAATTCCCTGCCAAAGTTTCAGGCAGGTTCATAATTTTTAAAAAATGACTACCATATTCGTCATCAGCGGCTTGGATAACCCCCATATACCGAGTTTGAGCAAGATCCATCACAAAAACATTGTGGGGCCCGGATAGCCGAATAGCGCCATCAGTTTTTGTTACCCTTCTTTTATCTATTTTATTGATTTGCAAAGTTTGAGCTACGGGGCTGGGGGATTGGTGAGGAGGTAGATTGAGCATACTGGTTACTCACACTCGAGAACAGGGAAATGCATGTAGAAGTGGGCACAGGTAAAAATGTAGAGGGATAGAAATGGAACCTTTATCGTTTTTGACAGGGCCGGGTGGAGCCGGGTAAGTCAGCTAGTATTACAATCATACCCTATAATAAAGCGCAGGGGGGACCATCCGACGTCAACAACCGGCGAAGAATGTTTGCCCAGATCTCTGAGTTAATTCTTGCACTTTCACCCGCTTCCATACTGTTTACCGTTACGACTGAACCTAAGTGCAACCTATGACGTCATCAATGGTATGATGTTTTGTGCCATCTTCGTGTTCCGTCTGCTTCGTTGATGTTTATCACGACGTCAAGCTAAATGCAACCCCAATTCCGTCGCCTACAACGCTGTTAGCGGTCGATTTATTTCAACCGCTTTACATTTTGCTTTACTCATTTGTGAAAATAAGCAAACGTCGGATAGCATCTTCAGGTCGGTGATAATACTTAACATTGATATCTGCATTACATCTCCTCAATTCTTTCTTAATCAGTGCACCACATCATCACTGTTTTTTAAACGTATCTTTACATGCAAAAACAAATCTCAAAATTGAGCCTTTCCTTAAAAATCAAACAAAATCATATCACTCATTGTTCATTTTCCTATTATGCACCATTTCATTTTTGTCTTCATTACCAAACGTATCTCATTAAAAATTTTCAAATTTTACTCTGAAAAAACCCTTCCACAAGAATGAAGCAAAAGAAGCGAGTGAAGCATGCTGAGCGTATCTTCACATGAAAAATTCCTTAAACTCACTGTGAAAATCGAACCTATTTGAGAAAATGGTTAGACATCAATACTGTGCGAACTTTCCAAATTGTTATCCACTAAGTGGTAAAAAACATGGTGATGCGAATCGCCTTGAAACACTAAACTTTATGCAAAAAGCTCACTTTGCAAGCAACGCAGGTTCTAAGAGAACACTTCATCTCAGGATTTTAAATTAATCCAAAGACAATTTCAAAAAAACTGTAAAAGTTAATGTGATCGTGAGAGAAGTTTGGAAGAGCTACACGCTGTCTGTCTGCTATCAATATACCAAGTGTGAACAAAAGAGATGGGAAGAAAGGGGCGCTTCACTAACCATCAACTCAACCCTTGCTAACCTCAAGAACATGTGCAATTTTGTCAGAATATTGCACTACCTCAAAATCGTATAGACAGCGGTGATTTGTTGAATGAACAGCTTAAATTGGATACACACTTCAATACTAGCTCTCTTTACGGAATTCGAGTCAATAGCCCACCAAGATGAGTTGGAAAATGGGTGCGCTTTAGAGCATTTCGGGTGGAATTTGTAGTCCTATATGGGCGTCTTTGTATGGAAGGCTGGCATTAGAATTTTTTAAGCATATTTCGTGAAGAGGAAGGGAAGTTTTTTCATTTAAGAAATTTTATAATAGTAAGTTAGAATTTTGGCTAAATGCATTCAAGTGCGTTGAGTTGAATCCTCTTGCTGAAATCTCGCAAAGAAATCAGAATAGTTACTTTGAGGCCCATATCCATGAAAATCAAGTGGCAAAAAAGAAGCGGCGTCATGAAAAGCCATAGCAGTTTTCGCCCGCGGCCCTTTTATGACAAGAGACGTCGCTTACTTCACCCCAGCTTTTCATATGGGCCTCCTGAGGTAGTTCGTAGGGACAGTCGATGAGGAGAGCAGAGCCCCGGGGGTGAAAACAGCCATGAAAATGTACATAGCTGGGAAAAGCTTGCCGGGTTTGTGACGGCCACTTTGGTCAGAAAGCTTTCGGATGTGAAAATTTGAGAGTATCCAAGGATCTTCGCAAATGTGGGAATGAGCAACTTTGGCAGCTACAGTTTATGGTGACAACACTGAAACTTTGGCTCAAAACCGTACACAAACGCTTAGGGCTTGCGCTGCATTTCGCATTGCAGGAGGGTTCAAAGAAAAGGTGGGACGGACAAGTTCTAATGCTGCAGACATGATGCAGAATCTTTGCGTTACGCAGCTCATCACATCAATTTTGGCCTGATTCGATGCACAGACTTTAAAGGTGTAAGGTGACGCATTTTCTCAACAGCATCTTTGGAGCTAGATTCGAAAGCGATTAAGTAAGATCAAAAGGAATTGAAAATGCGAGAAAAGATCGGTAGTTTGGGCAGTTTATAAAGGAAACATTTGGATGAAAAGGAATTGGGAGGGGGGAGGCCAATTTGGCTCAGAACTCAGGAATGACAATGAAACGCGAGTTGCAAAGAAAGCTGAGAGGAAGCGATTAATTTATCACTTTGGTTAATGATGTAACTTGGGAAACCATTTAAAGCAAGAGATCCTGACATTTAACTTTGATGATCTCCAAGTTTGTTAAGTGGCTGAGAAACCGCCATACTTTTGGAGGAGAAAAGGTTTCCACGCTCTACTTTGAGAGTCATATCCCACTTCACACACACAGCCAGTCCGGAGCGCCGCGAAGCGGCGCTTCGGACTGGTATTACAATATTTGAGAAAGGGGTTTTGAATAAAATTCGAAATTCGAATTATCGGAAACCGAGGTTTCAAGCACATATCAGTCAAATGTTTGCATGTTTCATTCGAATTCACATTTAAAATAAATTCATAATCAAATTTTTCGAGATCGCTGCAATCACATCGACCGTGAGTATGTCAGTAGTCCCGCATATGGTTATCTTGAATCTTTTTCTCATATATAAGGTTGTACGCCTGTTTGAGTGTTTGTCTGCGTTCCTCTGTCTGTATAACCGAATAAGTTTTTATCTCTGGATCGAATCCGGACCAAAGTTGGCACACATACCCTTGGGGCAGGGCAGGGCGGTTGTCATAGGCTGCTTTACGTTATCAATCAATAATACTTATTTTCTGCAAGGTTTGTGCTACCTGGCTGGGAGTTGGCACAGGAGATTAAGCGAGCATGCTGACTACGAAAATGTACTGGAGGCAGGGAGAAGGCTTATAGAAGTGGGACAGCGATAGAGTGATTTTGAACGGAAGAAGGAATGGCGACGTCTCATAGTGTATTGACAGGACCAGGCGATGCCGGGTATTTTGAGAAATCTTTTGCCTACCTTCAAATACCGTTTTGTAGAGGCTTACGAGGAAATGGTCAGAACTTAACCCAGCCATTCCAAATAAGTTGTATATGATCGAACTCCTCTTAGGACGCTGATTTCAAATATATGTTTTTTGACTGCCAAGCGACTATCTAGGAGGAGTTACGAGCGTTTAAAATGAGAAATTTTTTGAATTTTGACGGATATATTTGATTGAAAGGCAGCTTGATGGCTCGGTTTTACAATGGCTATGGTTACTCTGATTACAAGGAAGAAGCACATTCACCAAAGACCTAAAATGGGTGTTTCTGAAACCTATTTCGTGGAACATGAACCACAGAACACTTGACAAATCGCACATTTGAACGCTCATAACTCCTCACAGATAATCGCTTGGCAAATAGTAAACATATATTTGGATCAGCGTTTCAAGAGGACTCCGATGATATACAGCATGTTTGGTATGTACCAAATTACTTACAAGGGAAGGGTGGTCAGTCGAATTGGCCTTTTGCGACGTTTTGTGAAAGACGTTGAAGGGCATGAAATGCTGGTCCAAATCTGTCCTCCTTATCTGCGGCGCTTTCTTGAACGGGGAGTTATGAGCGTCTAAAGTAACAAAAAATGATGTTTTTTGAGATAGAAACAGTTGCAAAAATTCTCTTAGCGCTTGAATGAGATAGCCGCAGTACGGATATATTTCATCTAACAATAAGAATATTTATTTTATAGAGTGCTGGAAAAATTACCACTGGTCCATTAGAGCGCTAGGAAAAATGTTACTATTATTTTTATATTATTTGCACATTCAATTTTTTTTCAATAAACGCTCATAACTTCTCGTGCAGGAATGCGCCACAGATAATGG